TCAACTCTCCACCAACAAACACTCTTGTAAGTGGACAGCTCCACTTACAGACACTTTTTTGAATTCCCTGTTTTGCCTCCGGTCAAACTTTGTATTTTGACATTCCCGTAAGCAGACACTCTTTTGTAAGAGGACACAGACAGACTTGGGAGTGAAAATTTTAGTTTATACTCTCCTTTAAACCATTTCTAGTAGACTACAATGTAAGTCTATTGACAGACACTTTTCCAATTCTTGAGGGTGTCTGCCTACGACAGAGTTGACTGTAATTTAAGATAAATAAATTGAAGGGGTGTCAACATGAAGGTCCTTCATGACCATTGGTGCATTATAACAAGAGGGAATAAGTTGGAAAAGTAATATCGCAGAAGTCCATTGGGATGTTTTCCCTACACCTCTTCAATCTTGACCCTATCAAGCATGCAATAAACATGCTGCTTGATAAATAAGATTGAATGTTCTTCAGACTTTTTACCTGTAAGGCATCTCCCAACACATCATCAAAAGCTAGATAAGGTCTCCTGATATGCTTTTCCTGCAGAAAAGAAAAAGAGCATATAGATGTAATGCCAAGAAGCATTTCAGTTTTTGTTTTGTTCATTCATTTTTAGGTTGCTTTCAAAACAAGTAAAGACTATTTTTGCCACAAACCTGCCAGTTGTCTGATTTGAGCTTCTTAATCTGTGCCCATAGGCAATCAAGATACTGTTAAGACAATAAAATTTTCAGGGGCTTTAAACATGAAACTAATATCAATTGCAGGACCTTGAATGCAATATAATTAACAATAATTAATCACATGCTCAACCTCCCATATCACATTATCAGCATTCTGATTGGTTCACTAAAAATCTTGGTTATCAGCTCCTATGCCATATAACTGTATAATAATGTAAATGGAAAATAATAGTGCCATATGTAACCAGTTTAAAAATTTTAGATGTGACTAAGCTTAACTTTTTAAATTTAATCAGTATGACAGAGCAAGATAAAAATTTCTTCCTTGTGCAGTGTAACAGTTACGACATCTTACCTCTTCTTGAGGGTGAGGTTCATCAGATGACCACACTCGCAAGGCAGGAATGTGGGTCTTCTGTCTTTGACTGGTCAATTTAAAAAATAAACATCAAGAACATTAACATCTGACGGATTTGCATGTACAAGTAGATAAGTCAGCAGGTCTTTTCACAAGCAGCTCAATTGATCTCTATTTAAAATTGCACCTTATGTAGCTTTCAATTGTTGACAACAACCGTTCAAATTCCAGACTCTTCTTCTCAGAGAGTTCTTTGGCAGCCTAGAATAAGAGAGAGACCTCAGTAATTTTATTAATCACAAAAGAAACTGCTAAAATCAATCCATATGAAGGGATGGGGGTTGAAACCATTTCTTGGTTGATTTTTAAGTTTTAAAGATATGGAGAAAATAGAATTTAGACTTACATTAATCCTGGTTTTTTGTATTGCTTAGGCTGTTAAAATTAAGCGTTTTGTTCAAATTACTAGATGTTGTCATACTGTACATCTACTGACAACATTTACTTATAGGACCAAGTAAAAGCTCAGTAATGTGGACAAGGGGTTGACCTGTCGAGGAGAATTTGTTTAGCAATCAAGAGCTTTTTTAGTTGGTGATCATTTTCATATTCTTATAACCCTGATGTTTGATTCAGGGGTGATATATTGGTAGGGAGACTATCAGCACTCTTAGGGGTCAAAAGATCACTATCTCAGATAAGATGAAATTATGTCAACACTTTCCCATTTAAATCGACTTTTGCAGTTGAACTTACCCATGGCAATGAAGATAGTACTGTGTACACAAACCAGTCAGACCGGGCCTAAAACATATTAAACAGGCAATAGTATTTTCCCATTCAAAAGATAATTCTGTCAGGACAATGTGTAAGATTTACTGATCATTCACAATAAAACAATCATTACCATTACTTTCAGGATTATCATTAATATCATAAATAATATTTATGTTACCATAAATATTACAAAATGCATCATGAAATTTGATTGCAGATTTAAAGGGATGACGACTTGCAGAGTGAACGGTTCAAATCAAATGACTAGGAATCATCTTATGAAAGTAATGAAAGCACATTATACAACAAAGAATAAGAAAACCTTTAAGCAAAAAAAAGTGAAGAATTTTCTTATAAATGGTAAACAGAATTCTTTACATGGAATGCTTTTTTAAGGTATAACATGTACAAAAACAAGGATGATTTCACCTGTGGAGCATTGTCCTCCATAGTAGCAGCCAGGAACTTATCAAAAAACTCCAGCAGTCCACTATGCATGAGAACTCTGCAGTTAACAAGATCAGCAAGAAACCGCACCTAGTAAAATCAATAAATGTCAAAACTGTATAATTTGATTAAAAACACTTTGATTACATGCAAGAGAAATAATAGTGTGTCAAGAGAGTCAGATCCTACTTATGGTGATTAGGATCCTTAAATCAGACCAGACTGAAAGGTTTAGACCTAAGTACTTGCTGGGTTGCCTGTGTTCTGTGCTTCTGTAACCCAATCTTTCCCAAAACCTAAGGATATGGGTTATAGAACTGAATTATCAGGAACCAAGAGGGGTCAAGGGTTACTTGCAACAAACTGGCATTAACACTCCAAGTTACTCCACATCAGTGGCAACCCACAAAAGATCAGTTAAAATGAAATTAATAAATACCCTAGAAATAAATATATCAAAAGCTAATTGATTACCATTAATCTAGCTCTATCAAATTGAGCAGCAATCAGCACTTCCTTGAGGTTTTCCAAAATCATGTCTAGGAACTAAACAATAGATTGAGCCATTAATATCCAGCAGAAAGTGGGTAAAACTGGAAAAACAGCTCACTAAGGACATTTCTTTTCTGATCTAAGTATAATCAAAATCAAAACCTCAGTTGGCAATTTTTTGTGTAAACTTGATGAACTGAAACAAAAAACTTGAGTTGACAGAGTACCTCCTCTCCACAGCTGTAACTCTTTGCATTTAAAAGTCCAACAAGTGTGCTGTAGATAGTGATTTTCTCTGGTAGATTTGTAGCACTGAAAGCATAAATTCACATGCAAATTTCAAGCTTGTAAAACTGAACAAAGAAAAGTGAGAAACACACCGAAGTTTTGATAAATTTACAATGTACAACACAAGTAAAACCATAGAAGTGCTTTTTATGACTAACAAAAAATGTGATGCTCTTAAAATTTTGTTGCTTCAAAAGTCATGGACCAATCAGCACAACTGTTTTATTGCTCTGCTTTCCAGTGCTTTAGATGCACAGCCAATTAAGTCTTTCTTTGCAGGGATCACCAATCAGTTTCCTTTGACCAATAAATTTACATGTAACAGTTGACTAACAGCCCCCAAAAGGGAAATCAACCAAGATGCCATATCAGAATGCACAAGATATGACACGGTATTACATTGTTATGGCATAGTAGTGGAATAATAAACTCTTGTGTAGCCAATAAAAAAAAAATATGCTATGGTTTCTTACCAAGTGCAAATAATCTTCAGGATACGTTCTTTATAATTTGGCAGATCAGCTTCTAGCACATTGGCAAGACCTTCCAGATTGCTTTCAAGCGATGAAGTACTCTGTATCAAGAGATAAAATTCAAGGAAAGGTATTTCTAATAGACAGTGAAAGTTTAATATACATGTATTGCACTAAGAGCTTGTACCTTTTCTCCAACACGTGTAATGAGGGATTCTAACCGATCTTCAATATCCACAGTTTCAGTTGTTCTTCTTCTTTTGCGTGCTCTCCCATCTGAGAATTTACAGGAACAAAAAGCATTACATAAAGTATCAATAACAAACCATTTAAGTCACAAACTCATTCTTCAAAGCAATAAGGACAGATGTCATAACACTCCCTTGAGAACAAGAAGGTACTAAAAATGAAAAACATCTAAATTTACTGTACATGGTGTATCTCAAGATAAATGGTCCTGAAGCATGGACTTGGAAATATGAAAGGTTGGAGTCGTAATAAAACTTAAGAAAAATCAAGCTGTTTCAATGATAATACCAAAGAAATACCATTTCCAGAAATTTTGGAAATATATGTTATTCTGGTTGATTTCTCTTTAGAGTTTATGAAATTGTCAGTCAACTGTTTCATGTAAATTTGTTGGTCAAAGGAAACTGATTGGTCATCCCTGCAAAGAATGATTTAATTAGCTGTACATCTAAAGCAGGGTCCATCAGTGTTAAATCGCTGATTTTGAAAGTTATCGTGGCACCCAGATAAAAAATGGTCCAATGAGGCCCACCTTGTCCGCACACTTCAAAGAATTGGAACTAACATATGATGATTCGGTGACAAAAACAAACCAACGAAAAAAAACACCACAATAGAAGAAAAATAACATCAGCAAGTGGCTCTGCATCCTATTGTTTAAAAAAACAAAATATTTTCTATCTCGCCAGCCTTTCCAAGCACAAAAGCAAGACACACAGCTGACAGTAGAAATCCTTAGTGAGAAAAACATCGATGAGCCACTCGTCCTCGGCTTCTTCTTTAGATCAACAGTTTTGTTCCCCACCATTTTCACGTCGTCTTTGAATCAGGAATCGGAAAAGTAAAACACTTCGAGGCTGTCGCATGTAAAGAAGATATAATCTTTATCTGTGGTACAACAGATGAATTAAACGTGACAACTTAGAGTCACCATCACACGAGCACCTCAACAAAGGGGAACTCTAATTAACACATCACACGAGAAAGGAAATAAGAGCAAACCTTCTTCTTCACTATAATATCTTCTTTTCTCTCTTGACATGGTTTGAGCTCCAAGCTTTTCTAGTAAGCTAGAGAAGACGAGAGAAGACAAACTCCCGATGAATGCTTTTGAGCGTTGCTCCTTGTGTTACCGTTTCCGCACTGATAGCTACGTCGTATATTGTTACTATAGTGTACCACTAACGGTTACTCGCCTCGTTCTCCATCTCCCTCACGACATGAGTAAAAGGCTCGGTGTCTTAGTCAATACAAGATGGCGACTATTTTGCAAGGTAGGGTTGTGGATTTGTAGCTTCAGTAAAGGGAAGAGTGGAAAGAATTGTGCGAATTTTCGCGAAGCTTCCTAAGAAATTAAATATAAAAGTTTCGAGGTAGTATAAAAGTTTCGGTCACAAGTGATCTGGGGTTCAGGAGAGGTAGATCAACTCTACTCAGCTGTAAAACATGAAATGACGGTGGGTGAATCGCTGAAGTAAACTGCTTCGCCAATGACATCAGTTAATCTTTGGGCAATATTTCCGTATAGTTCTATGCTTTATTATGCATATAATTATTTTATAAACAAACCAATGAGGGAAAATTTAAATAAGTGGCCCTATATTCTGTAGTTTTACCGGAAAAAAACAACCGTTTTCTTATTGTGATCTGACTAGAGATCTGAGATGGTTATCTCCACGAGATAGAGACAAGGTAAAACTTAAAAATGCAGGGCCATTTATTTGCATGTTGTTGAATCATACATGAATGGAATTGCATGTCATCTCTCTTGAAGGATTGTTTAGAAGTCGCTTTCAAGTACTTTCAAGTCGGCAATTTTGGTTTGGTGAAGTTCAGAGTTTTCATCCTATTTCTTGGTGTGTTTTTCAAGCACTTTTTGGGAATGACAGAGCAAGAATACTACAGAGTAATAACATACTTCCTGGTAGAAGGTAATTTCTTTGCTTTGTAGGGTTTAGAACAAAGGGTTGTGAAAATTTACATAATAATTTTTCAGCTCTTTACTGTGAAACTTAGGAAACCATCTGAGAAAACTGTGATTTGATTCTAAGTAGTCTGTCATAACCAATCGCAACAAATTTCAAGACCTTCCAGGACACCTCAAAACAACCAACTTCTTAACTTGTTTCTGGCAGTTTAATACTCAAGGCTTACTGGTTTTTCTGTAACCCTTTAGCTTGCAGAAGTGATTAAAGTGTAACTTCTCCCTATAGTATCCATAAATTATCCAGCAAACAGGTTAAGAGAATTCTCAAATTTATCGGGTGGAAATTGTTATCGTGCTCTAACATAAAATTTTTGTTACCTATTAACAAGCAGCTAGAGGGGAGACTTAACAATTACATCTTGGGAATAATTAATTCTGTGTTCACAATTTTCTGTTTTCTTTACTTGTAGTAAAGATACAAGGTTTGGGTGTGGAGGATAGATTGAAATAATGGGATTACAAAATCTTGAGTTTCAAAAAAACAATAAACAAAGAGCAAGAACCACACTCAGGCTGTACATATCTTATGCAAACAACTACATGTAATTCTAGTTGGCACTAGAGTGAACTTTTTTCCATCTGTTTAGACACAAAAAAATCCTAGGAAAGATATTTGGAATTTGTTAAACTTTTTAGTTATACTTACAAAATAAGGGCTTGATTGCCAATATGATGTTGGAAGTAAATTCTTTACGAACCCTCTTCACCCTAACATCAGTGTGCATACTCTCCATACTGTTCTCTATAAATTTCCATTGGTACTGCCATGAAGAATTTGTTTAACAATCAAGAGCTTCTTTAGTTGGTGAGAATTCCCTTTTACATTTTGATTTTAATTTTTGATTCACCAGTGATACTGTAAAGATAAATTAGCTACATTGCTGAAATGACTTTCCATTTATAGATCAGCAGGGTCATATTTGGACATAAAGAAGCATCACAGGGCATATGGCTCTCAAATATTAAAATTCAACCATCTTCCTGTGATACATATCAAAGCAACATTTAACAATACAGTCATTACAATATTGGACAAAAATGGTGAGAGATGGTTAACAAGTTATTGTATCTTTTCATTGTCAATATCTGTGATTTCTTTTTTATTTTTTTTCTGTTTAAAACATTATTACTTTTATTTTTTAGAAAAAACGTTGGGATGGGTTTCAGCGGTAAGTAAGTGAACATGGTTGCTCACACTCAATAAATTTTCCATTAAATTTTGATTTTGATTTTAAGAAAAATTTTTTTTCTGTGTTGTGAATGTCAGGGAACAGAAGGATTCAAGAATGCAAGGGGAGGAAGTTCTACAGCAGCACGACAGGCTGGAATAGCAGCTGCTCAGGTAAGATTTTTGTAAGCTCTCTTTACCTAATGAATAATGGGCGGGGGGGGGACTTTCGTAAGAAACTGTAGTGATCTGTCTTTTGGGGATATTAAAAGATAGAAAGATGGTTTGGTTTTAATATCTGAGTTGATCAAATACATTGGCCACTGTGAAGAGTTTCTAAAGCTGATGTTTCAAGCAGTAGCTCAGGCTAAAACTTCAAAAATCAGCTTAAGAAACTCTCTACAGTGGGAAGAGTTAACAGTGTTGACTCAGTTGTTAAAACCAAATTATCTTCTTTACTTAGATTGAAGTCTATTAAATTTTCATCCCTGATGGAATAAAAAAAGTGATAAAAGGTCTTTAATAATAATTTTGTTCTATAATTTTTGGAATTTTCTACTTATATTTATTTAGTAGTAATAAGAATTAAAATATTTTTATAATAGTGTAATGATAATGATAATCAAAGGGCTTATGAAGCAGCATTTCCCATGCACTAAGGTGAAATAACTATTATTTATGAGGTTCTTTTACATTTTGATTTGATTATTTTTGGTTTACAGTGTCTATTTACTTTTCTCTTGAAATTCAGAAAGCAATTTCATTAGGAGTAGACAAAGCACGAATAAAAATCCGTGGTATTGGAACTGGACGACAGGTATTTACAGTGTATTTCCCAAATAGCATAAATTTCTCTTCTTAGAATACTGTATGAAAATCTGTTTGAAATCTCCTTGTTTTTTGGCAAAGTCCTTCCCATGAGTAAAATAGAGTCTGTGGTGTGTTTTACTCTTTCTAAGGACTACACTGTAAAAGAGGGACTACCCGTAGTCTATACCAACCAGTTTCAACGCTATTGCATCCTTGTTTTTGTTTGAAACAGATCTGTGGTAACCTTATACTCTTTTTCTTGTTATCTTTAGGGTGCAGTAAATGGCATTGTATTTGCTGGAGTGGACGTGGTCTCAGTTACAGATGTTACCCCTGTTCCTCATAATGGCTGTAGACCCAGAAAAGTTAGAAGAGTGTAAAGTGACAAATAATTAAAAAAAGTTCTCAATTTGAGGCAGATTGTGGTTTGTTCTTCTAAACATCTAGGGAACATAAATTGCAACAGCTCTCAGAAATCAGCGTAAATTTGTTTACACAGGGAGGCTTCAACATAAAGAACAAGGAACAACACAATGTACCAGTTCCAAGACATTTACCCATATTCTTGTCATTGCTGTTGCCTTTTTTCCAATCGTTTGAACTGAGTTATGGCGTGAAATAATCAGCTCTAATAATTTGCTCTTCAATGTGTATTATTTTCCGCCTCAGCCCGGTGAATGCTGAGTGAAGGGACGAATCTTACTTCGGCTCATAATTTCCCTCAAGATCATTCTCATATGATTCTGATTTTTGCCCCATTTTTTGTTATTAAAGAATAAGTTCAGGGGGAGGCTTTCAAATTTTAGGAATATTTATACTACCCATTTATTTTTTGACTGTTGAAATTGAAACGGAAATTTCTCGAGTTTTCTCTCATTAACGGATTTGAACACTTCGCTTGGCCTCTTTCTTATGAACCACATTATGTAGTGCTCGGAACTCCGCTTAAGGTTCAACCTGGAACATAGAATACAATGAACGATTGATTATGTAAAGCTGGGTTATCAACTTCCACAAACTTCTTCTTTCATGAGATGTCAATAACTAACCACTGCCTTCAAATGACTTATTTACTGCACCAGAGTATAAGAAATCAAAACAACGAACTACTTTAAAACAGGTCAAGGGTCGACAAATCCCAACTGTAGCACTTTTCCCGAGCGTTGAAAAATATTTGACGATTAATAAACACAACAACCTTCAATCGAAGCTCGCAATTTTCAAAAATTGTTCGCATCCCGGAACGAATAATGTCAGCGGATAAATATCCGTGCATATTATGGAACAAATTGGAGGCTCTGGTTTATTTGCAACTCACCCATTACTAAGTTTCACACGACTGCTTAGGCTACTTGGCAGTCGCGTGGGTATATACGCCATGGCTGAATGCCATATAGACGACAAAATGGCT